TTCTGGACTGTGGACTTGATGGAGACACATCCTTCGAATCAGCGAAATTGTATGACGACATACCAACTGTCGACGTGGTATTGGTGTCTCACGCAGATATCCGTCATATTGGCGCTCTTCCCTATATAGTGCAAAAGTTCCCCAAATGCACTGTCCTTACGACCGACCCAGTTGGTAAATTAGGGTACCTTTCCCTCTTAGAGGCTCTGAAGACTCAAGCCATAATGGGATATCCCACTTTTCATTCTCGCGATGTCGAGGCTGCTTATCGCAAAATCATCTTGTTAGAATACAACAAAGTCCAGAAATGTGGTGACATTGAGGTGTTAGCCCATTCATCAGGCCGAACACTTGGAGGTGCGAACTGGACGATACGAAGTGGGTGTGATGATGTTGTTTATGTCTCTGGTAACGACTTGAACTATGGATGTGTTGTTGACTGTAGTAAGGTGATGAACTATGTCCACCCAATGATTATGATCACGGACTCTGGTGGAATTGGTCAGTGTCAGAAACACTTGGAAGGTGTTGTTCAAGAAATGGGACGGATTATCAGTCGGAAAGGGTGTTGCCTTATTCCGTTAGACTGTAGTGGTCGAACAGTGGAATATATTCGAATGATTTTAGGGTGTTGCAACACTCCGATTCTTAAAGAGGCGTCTTACCACTTCATCAGCCCTGTCTCCGTCCAAATACAAGAGATAAACAAGACAATTATGGAATGGGTCAGAAGCGGTGCAGACATTTCCAATTTCAGAAATTTTGTGTTTCAAAACAACACTGATAGGGTCAAACGCGAGATCGACTCGGGAAGGCCGTGTGTTGTGTTTTGTACAAACAATTCCCTTTCTGTTGGGAGCATTAGTAGAGACATCTTTATGAAAATTAGCAGAGAGAATAGAAATGGCATTTTATTCATTGACCCACCTGATGAGGGTTCATTAGGGGACAAAATTAGTAAGAATGGAATTACTGGAGTTGTCGATATTGACACATGGAGGACAGAAGATTACACCGACGAGGAGCGAGCTGCGCTTGAGAAAGAGAAAGAGGAGAAGAAAGTTGTTGAGAAGAGTGTTGAAGAAAAGAGCGAAGAGGAAAGTGAGAGTTCGGAAGACATAAAGGTGAATATGTGGCAGCTTAAGACGGACGTGTACGAGGACGAGCTTGAGGATGTTGGAGGGCTCTTCCCCTTTTTTGAGAAGAAGAAAGAGACTACCGTGTATGGCGACGCGTCATCGTTTAAAATGGAGGTTGTAGCGGAGGAGGGACTTATTGGAGCGTCCGAAGAAGAGGTCGACGATATAGATGAAATACCACGAAAATATATTAAAGGAGGAGATACCGTTACCTTTGTTTGCAGTGTCTTTGCAAGCGATTTAAGTGGAGAGATGGAGGTACGCAAAATCCACTCAGTCATCTCGAAAATAGTTCCACGACACTTGGTGTTTTCGACACTTATTGACGAGAAAGCACTGGGCTGGTACCAAACCAATATGACGCACACAAAGTTATTTGGGTTTTCCAATAATAGATTTGAGATCTGCCCAATCACACCAACGAAAACTGTATTCATCACTGACGAGCTGACCAACGTGTTGACACTTTCCAGGTTAAAGGAATTTAATTTGGGACCAATTGATGCTAAAGTTTCGGACAACGCGTTGGTCCCAGTGAAAAAAGAAGAACGCAGTCGACACACCTCTATTTACGTCGGAGAGTTGCCAATCAAAGCCCTAACAAAACAAATCGAAGAGAGAGGAATTGACGTCAAAATCACAGAAGGTACCGTTGTGTGCGCGAAAGGCACAGTCACCATTTCAAAGACTCCTTCAGATGTGCCGAAGTTTGAAATCAGAGGACGTCTCAACATGGCATTTTTACAAATCAGGCGAATTCTTGCAGAACAATTTTCGGTGCTTTAAACACTTAATTAATTAATAAATCAGTTGATTGTACATCTTTTGTTATAAAACACAACGGTATACCATTCAATTAGGATTTATACACGATTCGCTCCTCCGCGTCAGACGCAAATTCTAAAACGCCAACAACATCTTTCAAGCCATTTTCATCAACGTTACACTTCTCCATAATTTCATCGAAGGTAACGACATCCCTCCCTTCATTCACAAGTTGTTTTGTCACATACGACCGTATCTTTCGAGCGACATCAGTGGTGACATTCCCATCCCACTCTTCATCAAAGTGAGCGTAGAAAACAAGTTGCACGGCAGCAAGTGCGTCTCTCTCTTCTATCTCTGGAACACCACGAATTCGTGCGTGTGCTTCTGATATACGAATCAACGAATCGAGTGCTCTTGCAGTGACCGGCAATGTCCGTATTTTGAAGTTGTGTTTTGCGCGTTTCTTTCTTTCACTGTCACGCAATTTGACATAGGCGTCGCAAATTTTCTCCTGCGCCTGTTGGCTCAACACAACTTTTTGTTTTCTCCTTGCGTATGTGATGTACTTCTTGATGAACTTATTGGTGAACAATTTCTCACCAGCATACAACGAAGTGTCTTGATAAACAGGCGCATCGCCTTCCTTTTCCTTTTCTGCATCAACCACCTCCAGCACATCTATCTCATTCTCCGCTTTCTTCCCCGACATCGCATCAAAGTGTCGGTGCATCTTCAGCACATGTTCCGCTACACTTCTATCAATCTCCTCCGTGGTCGAGTCCAACACAATGAATATCAAGTCAAATCTCGAAAGAAGTGATTCTGGAAAGAACAGGTTTTCCATCGGGCTTTTCTTCACATTATAATTCCCATTCGACGGATTTGCAGCAGCCAAAATAGAACATCGTGCATTGAGCGCTGTGTGTATCCCAGCTTTTTGGATCGTGACGGTCTGTTGTTCCATCACTTCGTGCATCGAAGCTCGATCTTCAACAGACATTTTATCAAACCTATGTGTCACTTCTTCATTCTCGCGAAACAAGAAGGTTATTAGCTCATTAAACTGCACATATCATCAACAAACTCGTCAACACAGACAATGCCTCTGTCTGCCAACACCATCGCACCAGCTTCTAAAGTCCTTTGATGTGTGTCTGGATCATTTACCACGGCCGCAGTCAGACCCACACCTGTGGCTCCTCTTCCGTTAGTCGACACACTGAGCGGTGCTATGTTCATCACATACCGAAGGAGTTGTGACTTTGCAGTCGATGGGTCACCACAAAGCATAACGTGGATATCTCCTCTAACTCTGGATCTTAGTCGAATTTTCTCGGTTGCGCCTACCAACATCAGAAGAATCGCCTTTTTAATTTCTGTCTGTCCATATATCGACGGAGCAATCGATTTTGTCAAATGGTTCACAATGTCATCCTCTTTCATCGCTTTCTCAATATTAACTTTGTCCAAATCAGTAATTTGAGGCCCTTCCGTCTGTGAGGCGTTCACACTTTCCGCCTCCAATATCACACTAAACGTCGACGAATGGTTCGGTCCGGCTAACGCCTTCAAAATCCCCGTCACACAGACCCGGTCACCGGGCTTTGCCTTATCAACCAACGTGTTGTACAACACAACTATCACGGACCGTGGCATCTGCCCCGTTGGCGCACTTTCTGGCGCCTCTTGTACCACCAACGTTTGAAAATCTTTGTATTTCGAAAGTCCTTGCTCGAGTTCGAGTGGCTTTCCGTCGGGAGTTTTACTTGCCATTTTGACCATAGAGTCCGCGTGGCTCAAATCACGAGAGTGCATTGAATAGTCCAGTGGACATATTTGCACTGCAAGTTCAAGCAACGGTCGAATTTGCGTGGATTTTGTGACTATTCCCGTGACTGCCACTTTTTTCTGTAAAATGCAAGCAGTAATCTCACGAGGGGTAATATGGTGGATCTGTTGTTCTTCCTCCATTTCTCTTTTTTAATTCCTCTTTTTTTCACTTTTTATAAAATTCAATTGTTAATTCAATTAAATGGGTGTTTATTATCTGACCTGTATATATATATAAATTAATATATATTTAGCGAACAAAACTCGAGAATTATAACATTGTTAAAATTAAAATCAATTATTTCCTAATACAAAAGCAGAAGGGTCAATCGCAACACAACACGAGACGTCGTTCACCTTGTGGATACCAATAAGTCTGTCAGCTAATTCAAACATTTCAGGCCTCAACGAAATTATAGAAAACTGCGCGTTTTTCGTTCGTTCTTTGATGTAATGAGCAATGATACTCACATTTCTAAAGTCCAAAGCAGCATCGATTTCGTCCATCACATAGATTGGTGTTGGTCTGTAGTGATGAAGCGCAAAAATGAGGGCAAGCGAACTCAACGTTTTTTCTCCTCCTGACAAGTTGGTGATATTTTTCCACGCCTTCTTTGGCGGCCTCACACTGAATACAACTCCTTCAGTAAAGGGATTGAGGGTGTCGACTAACTCCAACTCAGCAACGCCCCCTTGTGTCAACAAGTAGTACATCTCTTTGAGCTTGAACGAGATCTCCGTCAGCCCATTCATAAATTCGTCAAATCTCTTCTTCTTTAACTCTTCCAAACTCTTTTTACACTCATCTCTCTCGCCCATTGCAGCTCTCATCTCAGCTTCTTTTGCTTTGAAATCCTTCAACACTTCTTGATACTTCGCTATCACTTTCAAATTGATGCCATCTTCCATCCCTTCAATCTTCTTTTTCACCTCACCAATTTCTTCCTCGATTTTTTCTCTCTCACTCTCTCTTTCCAATACCGTGTCCACAACATCTTTCAGAGATATTCCAATTATTCGCTCATTATTTGCACCAACTATTTCTTCTTCCATTTTGTTTTTTATCTTTTCTGCTTGCTCATCGTCTTCACTTGACTCTTCGTTGACTTCTTCTTCCATTGCCATAGCGTTCTTTTTGTTTTCGTTCGGAAGCACGGTTTTCATCGCCTTCAAGTCACTCAAATACTGGTCTTCATCGTGAACATTCGCAACTTGTAAAATTTTCTCAATTTCTTCAAAATTTCGTTCTCGTCTTGCGACTATCTTCCGTCTTGCCTCGTTCAACCCACTCTTCCCTTTCTCGATCTTATCAATTTGTTCTTTCATTTTGTCCGAACTCTCATCCAACTCCTCAATTGTTTTCTCAATTGCGCCAATTTGTGTTTCTTTCTCACCCCTCATGTTCTTCTTTTCTTTTATTTCTTTCTTCATGTTCTTCAGCTCGTCTTCATTCACTTCTTCAACAGCTTCTTCCATCTTGTCGCTCAACTTCTTCAGTTGGTCTTCGATCTCAGCTCTCATCTTTTCCCACTCTTCGATCTTCCCGTCGCTTCCATTGACTTCACTTACAAGCCTCTTCGCCTCTTTCACGTTTCGAGTATACCTGCTCTTGATATCTTCCAAATCCACACGAAGCACTTTCATTCCAACTCCTTCAAGTTTTTCCAATTCTTTCTTTTGTGTTGCGAGTTGGTCTTTCAGGGAGCTACACTCATTTTCAATTTTTGTGATCTCTTCATTGTTTTTCTCTTCAGTCGCATTCAAAAGGGTTTCTTTTACCTTTTCATCTTTTGTGAGTGCTTTTAAATTCTCTTTTGCTTTCTTCTCTTCGTTTTTCTTTTCCTGTATTTTTCTCTCCAGATTGACGTTTTCGACTCGTTTCACATTTTTCAACTCCTTCCGCTTCTCCTCTCTGCTCTTCTTCAGCTCCTCATTCTCTTCTTTCAATTTTTCCATTTCATCCTCCCCCATTTTGATTTTGTCTTTCAGCCTTTCCATCGCCTCTCTATCCTCTTTACTGATCCCAACTTTCTTCATTCCACCTTTCATCACTGCGTTCCCGCCACCAGTAATCGTACCAACAACATCCAACAACTCCCCTTTTGTCGTTACAACTCTCTGTCGCACTTTCCCATAAGAAATTCGCTTTGCCGTTTCGATATCTTCACTGACAATTGTGTCTCTCATTCCAAAGTAAAACGCGTCTCTTGCCCACTCATCGCATTCAATCAAATCAACAAGTCGCTGTCCACCTTCGATTGGATCAAATCTCCTCCAATCCTTTTTAATCTTCATTTGCTCCAAAATGATCATTGAAACTCTCCCAAGTCTTTCCTCTCTGCACATCTTCGCTATTTTCTGCGCGTCTTCTGTCTTTTCAACAACAATGTGGTCCAACATTCCACATGCGGTTGTGATCGCAACGTCATATCTGTCATCTATCTTCCCTAAATCACCAAGTCGTCCTTTAACCCCTTGAATGCCACTCTCCTCTATTCGTCTGAGGATGTCAGTTATCTCTTTCTTGCTTTGGACTCCTTCATTCGCTTGTTCCAACGCACTGAGAGACTCTCTATCTTCCAACAACGATTCTTTCTTTGTTTTGACTTGAAAATCACTCTTCGCAAGTTGCGCGTCAAGTTCTTGAAGTGCTGTTCCAAGCTCTTGGATGCGATCTTCTTCCTTTTTCTTTTCTTCAACTTGTAAGAGTTGTTGCTCCTCAAGCTTCTTAATCTCTTGAGAAAGAAGTTCCACTTGATTGGATGCTTGTCGACTTCTGTCTTGTAACCCACCTTGCTCGGCTTTAAGTCGACTAACACCATTTTTAAGTTCATCAATACGCCGTTCAGGATCACTCAACTGCTCTTTCAACTTCTCAATTGCACTTTTAACGGGTTGCGTTTTACCTAAAATCTCTTTAGTCTCAATCTCAATCTTATTTTCAAGATCATCAATTTTCTCTTTGTCAGAACTGTTGCTGGCTTCCAACTTTTCAAGCCTTCTTCGAGTATCAGATACGCGGTCTTGCTCTTGTCGAATCTTTTTGGTGTACTCATCAATCTCTTTAGTGTTGCGTTGTACCGCTTTGTCATTGATTTTTTTCTCTTCATCTATTCGTGCCTTCCTCTTTTTAAGGCTTGCAATCTTTGATTTCTCTCGTTCCGCCACTTTCTCAATCTTTTTAATTTCTTCATCAATCTCGTTCCGCTCAATTTCTATCTTCTTCTGGTTCTCCCTTTTCTCTTCGACAAGTTTTGTTATCTTTTTTAAGTTCCCCTCAATCTTGCGTATTTCGACTAAACTTCCCTTCTCTTCCTCTTCGATTTTTTGTTTTTCCTCTCGATAGATTCGTTCTTCCAGTGCAATCTTCTCATAATTTGAGATGACATATGATACTGCCCTCTCGTTATCTGGTGAGATTGCGTTCTTCTCTTTTTCACTCATTCTACACCGATTAGTTTTATCATGAACGGTGTCGTTTAAACTTTCCAAATCTCCTGTTTTTAAGTCAATTGGCTCGATGTACTTTGCAGTTCCAATGATATCTTCAAGGAATTCCAACATTCCTTCCTCCCCGGTCTTTGCTTTTGCAGGCATGAGTGCTATTCTCTCGACTTCTCCTTGTAAAATCAAGAATCTATTATTTTGCAAATCAAACCCTTTGGTTTTCATCTTTGCTTGAATATCCTCGATCTTGACAATGGTGTTGTCTATGTAAAACTTTGATCCATTGTCTTTCGAAACACTCCGCGAAACAACAAAATTGGTCGACGGAACTACATCACCGGACCCATTCACATTAGTGAGATACACATCAACGCGCGCCTCACGACAATCGTTATGAAGCGATGATTTGTGAATCAAATCAACTAATTTGGATTGTCGTATTTGCTTCCCACGACGACCAAACACAAACAGAAGTCCATCAATCACATTTGATTTCCCAGACCCATTTGCACCAACTATTGTTGTAAACGAATGGTGGAATGGGCCTAACTCGGTTCTTCCATAATATGACTTAAAATTTGTGAACACCATTTGAGAGATGACTAATCTCGTGGTGGTTGTGTCTATCTCCTCCATACTTTCTCACTGCTTTATTCAATTTCTCTATTTTCACTTTTCTTCTCTTTCTCGTCTTTCTATCTTTTTGTTTGGTTTGTAATAGATATTATTAATTATTATTTTAATAAATAATGTGTAAAAATGATATTGTTTTACTTAATAATAAAATGTACGAGTATATATTAGTTCTTTCTTTTTAAAATAATTATAATATATTTAATCATATATTTTACTATGTTCTATTATTGAAAAAATTTGGTATTCACAAATCGAACTCCTCTTTCATCAGCATTTTTATCTTTTTTAAAAGTACAAAACATAACAGAAAAACCAGTTTTTTAACATCAGAACGCAACATGCATCTCTTTAGAGTAGTCGGTTCTACATTTGAGCACTTCATTTGGATCTATTCCCATAAAGCCGCCGTCTTTCATTATGGCTGTAGTTATATCACTAGACGTCATTATTGTTAAAAGTTTAAATAGTATATGAAAATAAGTTTCTTTTCTATGTGAAATAAACTCTTCTAGATTAGATAGATAACAAACAGTACTTGACTCTTTGGTATACAAAAGATTTTAAACAACGACGACAAGTTTTCAAACATAGGTCGTACAGTAACAGGGAATGAAAGTCTTCTGACGGTGTCAACAATTGCAGAGACATCGTACATAAATAAGAACCCCCCACTGATAGGGGTGATCTTCAGTTTTTTGATGATTTTAATGAACTGCCCGTGCAACCCATTTGCAAATGTCACTAAAAAGTTTCTCTTGTTACTCCCAGTCAATCCTTTTTCGAATGCGACGACTATCATTTGAATGAATCGACACGTCTCTTTACAGATCTGTGAACATCCCGCAGTCACCCAAGTATCATCATTCTCGTCTTTCAATTTAAACTCATTTTTATAATTCAGGATCTTCTCACAGTTCCCAACAAGCCACTTCCCAAGTTCACTCAAACTCTCGGAAATCCCACTCTCCAAGTTTTCTATACGTCCTTTAAACGTGTCGGTGTACCCTTGTAACTTTTGTATTGAATACTTGAAACAGGGGGTGATCGATTTCTCAAACATCACTTGAACTGATCGGACTGATGTGGTCACATTCGTTAAGAGCTGAAGATATCCCTTCAAAAAGTTTTCGACATTCTTTGGGTTGACACTCTGCTTCGACGTCTGGTACTCCATTTTGTCGACAACATCCTTCAACACTTCATCCATCCACTGAATCAAATACGTAAAAAGTTGTGTTGTCAGTCCATCAAAATCTTCAGGTACACTTAATGTCTGTGCACGCACCATCCCAAACGAGAGTTGGTCGCAAATCAACTTCACTTCTTTCGGGTCAATTAACTCCCCAAACCCACTCATCACCACTTTTGTTGAACTGTCCGCTTTCACCGTCTTCTTCTTTGCAGTGTATTTGTCTTTATGTGCTTTAAACACAGAGGCGATGTATTCAGTCTCTGTTGGATTATAATTCCTTCAGATCAATTCATGAACACACATGATCAAATCAACTCGAGAGAAAAAAACAAACGAAGTCTTATCTTCATTAAAGACGTTCTCTACTAAATCACTCAAAAAGACGGCATTCATTCCTGATGACGTGAGTGTTTTATTAAAGAAGTTGGACATTTGCGTGTACGAATCATAGAGTAAAAAGAGATATTTCCAATTGAAATCAGGGTCCGTGTCTAACCCTTTGTAGAGATACCCACTTAAAAAGCCGGTGACACGGACTTCGACAATTTTCTGAACATATCGCGCCAATACAACATCTTTTTGAACAAAAATCTTTTCAATTCGCTGTTTCTCTTTTTGTATCTGTGCAAGTAACGTCTTCAAGAAGGCCGCAAGGACTTGACTGTTGATCGCTACGACAGTTTTATTGATTTCAATATCAGACTCAGCCAACGCCTCTTCCTTGTGGATCGCAACTTCATCATTCAAAAATTCATTACTTTCGATATACTCATCAACACATGTATCTCCACCATTCAAATAATATAACATCTCTGCATTGTCTTTCATGGTAATCAAATTCTTCTCAGCCATTGCCGTCTTAAAGTTCTTTAAATAGTCGCGTTCTAAAAATTCAAATAATGTCTCGACGTTCTTTCTCCCCAAAACACTTTCGGGACTCTTCAACTCCTTACTCAAACTCTTCAACTTCTTCACACGAATAACAAAATTGACTTCCGCATCATCATCATCTTCATCAAGTTCTTCTCTGCGCTTCTTGTACATCACTGGATCAAAGTTCTTATCCCCATTCAATGTTCGAAACATCTCTAATATCAAAGAAGCCTGTTTCCCTCGGGACGCTTCAGTCGCAAGGTCTTGAAGTCTCTCACCCGCTTGCATGACTTCCGTCGATAACTCAGAAACGCCGTTCTCCGTTTCTTTGAATTGTGTCAGTGCTTTATCAAACTTCTTTCGACACGCAGTGACAGACGCAACGTGGTTCTGTTCTTCCAAAAGACACTGCTCTTGAAATTCCTCAACAGACTTTTTATACGCAAGAAACTGATTGTCGATCCGTGACTTGCTCAGGTTCAGTAAAGACAGAAATGGGTCGATGTCAAACGTCTCAATTCCTTTTGCAATAGAATAGTCACTCTGATCAGAAAGCAACGAATCTACAAAGATTTCAGGGTCAAAGGTCGACTGCAAAAAGATGTTTGTGTCCATTAGACGCCGTTCAACTTCCTTTAAATTCACCGGGTCTTTTGGGTTCGACATCGCTCTTGTGAAATTTTTAGATGAACGTCCTCTTTAATTAAGTTCAATGTATGGTTCTTTTTTTATTCGTTTAGTTTCTCATTTCTTTATGACTGAAATTTGGTAATTGTTTTGTGTGTTCTTATTATTTCAAATGGTTATTGTATTATTAACTTTTATTATTCGTTTTTTTACTCTAATATAGTGATGTTTTTAGTTAGTATTTTCTCTAGTTCTAATGTCATAAAAATATAGTTAATTATCATATTCAATCAGTGATTAGTAAGACTCGTCATAGAATGTCGGGTAATTGAAGAATGTTCTAATTATGAAGCAAACGTCAAAGTGTTTTAAAAATAATTCAAAAAAATTAATCAAAACAAACAATTAAAAAAATATATTAAAAAAATATATTAAAAAAATCAACTGAAAACAACCAATGAAAAAAAAGGTAAAAACTGTAAAATGACAAATGAGTGAGAAGATTGATGAGCCCGAACGGGTAGATACACCATTTACCGAAGCTATTAAAACACAGAAAGACACTGAAGCCCTGATTGCCCAGTTGAAGAGTACAATAACACAATTGGAGCGTGTTGAGCAATTGGAAAAATCACTTGGGATCTTTTCTGACACAGACGTGGACAAATCTGAGAGTTCTGAAAATGAGCCTGCGCTTCGGATTACCTTTGTGAATTCCTTCACCAACAGCGATGAGTCTGAAAAGAGTGCAGAGTCGCAAGTCTCAACACAGAAAAGCGCCGAAACAAACCTCAAAGTAACAAACTCATTCAGAAAAAGGCCTCATGGCAATGAGGACTTCGAGGCACGTCGTGACTGCAAGAACGACTGAGTCTTGTCTATTTTTATTTCTTTGTATAATTTGTCCTTCGACTTTTTTTTTAATAAGTTATTTTTAGGTTATTTTATTATTTTTTTTTATCGTATTTTTCTATTATATTATATCAAATGATTTCAAATGTTATAAATATAATTTTGGTGGAAAGTTGGGTTTTGTTGATGGATCATTTTTTAATTCATATCAGACAACACAATAAAGTTTGAAAGAAGTATTGTTTAAGTATGACAATAAAACCCGATTAGTACCACTTTTTAGGTGTGAAATTACAACAATAAAAAAATTTTAAACCAGTCTTTTGACCTACTTTTTTTTAAAGAAAAAAACCTTCTGTTGTATTTTTTTTGTTTTGGCAAAAATAGAAATGATTAAAAATGAGAATTTGTATCAATTCCCGAAATACCATCTCACTTTCCGGTCACAAAAAAAAACAGACGAAAATATGATGGAATTCTCTACAAAGCAAGTGAACTCGACTTCTAAACTGTAAAAGTCAGAATTTGATGTTTCGCCATTTGGCCCATTCATCTCAAAAGTACACCGTGACATTTACACTCATACGGATTCAAGTGACATCACAAAACTCATCCAGTCGTGGGTTAATGTGTAAAATGACTCGTGGTAAAAATTTTCAAATCTTCGATGTGCATTTGGAAACTCCTCTTCAAAATTCCTTTTACTTTATTGGGAAATTTTATTTGACAAAAACAGGGGCGCAGGAAAAGATGATGGACTTGACTTTGTTTTCTAAAAGCAATCCACATAATGCTGAGACGATTCAAATCAATGTCTCTCAATTTTTCCCAACTCAAACAAATTCTTCACGAAAAATTATATTCGACCGAGTCGCTTATAATATCACTTTCCAAATCTCTTTCGAACCGTTCGGCTTGAACATCGACAGAAAGGCTGATGTCCTTCCTTCACCTCCCACACAATCACCACTCGGACCGTCACCCCGTGTCGACACACCAACATTGGTCTTGCGGGGAAAACCCGAACCAAAACGGGAAATGTCTTCTGTCGATAATGGAACACCACACCGTCTCAAAAACGAAAAACTACTTGAATACTCTAGCCAACCACAACTGCCTCGAAAAACACAACTTTTATAGGAAAGAGAAATTGGAAAGACAGGGAAATGGGTACTCGTATATCTCCGATATGGACAGACAAGGGGGCATTGAACCCCAAACCATCGACTTGAAAGGAAGTGAACTCTTCAAAGACATTAACAGCTATGATGTCATTATTCTCCTTGACGAAAACCTCAATCTCACGTGTCCATTACTTGTGGAAATTGTGTGGACTACGGTGGTCAACAATCATATTACACAACGTGGAGATGTGATGTCTCAAATTCTTGACGAAATTGAGTTAAGATTTGAAGACGAACTGATCCAATTCAAACAGCTGATGTATCTCACTTCAACCATCTCATGGATCATGTTACTTTACAACAATAACAACACTATTTCTCAACACGCTAAAGACATATTTGCTGAGAAGTGTAGTGGTCTCTCCTGTCGTTGTGTTAAACAGATACTCGGACAAATCCATAAATTGACTCAAAACTCAATAAACGCGTGGGTGCTGAGTCAAGAGTGCACTAAAATCGTCATAGACTTCGTCGATAAAATTATCACGTGTGTATACTCCTCCAAATACCCAAAGATGTTTTCGACAGTTCTCATTGAATCTATTGCAACGTCGATTGTCCTTTCTCTTGCAGAAGAGGTATCAAAGAGTGATTATCTTGAAGTCGAGACAGGACTGTACCTCAATATTCTTGTTCAACAAATCGAATCTGCATTTACAAATGCACACATCACTCTTGATATCTCTATATTAAAAGAGATCTCTTCTGTCCTTATCTTGAAGAACAAAGACGTCTTAGCTACTGATTACCAAGTCGTTTGTCCACATATTCCCATTCAATTTCTTGTCAATATTTTGACCACTTTAAAACAAAAGGATGAATCTTCTCTCTCGACTACAACCATCGCAACAATCAGTAAATCTTCTGTGATGTCCAATTTAGATACTCTTTGCTTCGACACAAAGAAAGTCTACAAAGCTCTTTTCTTTCCTTTAGTTTTTGACCTCATGAACTTGGACGAACTCAAGACGATTTTCAAAGATCGGTCGTATCTGAACCCAAACGGGTTATTTCTGTAATTTATTGTGTTTTATTCTTTTTAGTTCATTGACACTCTTGATACTTTAATTGGGTATGTTTGATGATATTTATTATTATATTATTATTCTATAAACGTGATGAATTTACCAAAGTAAATACTCTCAAATCAATTCAATACTTATTGGAGGTCCTTCACTCCCTGGTACAGGTTCTTCCCAAACTTGTTAACAGCCTCTATTATGATCCCTTCCTCCCATTGGAGTTTATCACACACAAAAAAGGCCTCAGCATGAGTAATGCCAAGTCTCTGAACAAGTGTGACGACCATATTAATATACCCCAGTGCCCTTTGTGTATCGTAATTAGTTCTCTTTAAGAACGGGACTGTGAAATTTGGATCAATTTGTGTCATCTGACTGACTTGCTTGATAGCAGCCATTGCTTCTTTTGTCTGCTTGCCAACAACAAAAGGATTTTCACCGCTGAAAATGAACAATTGCTCGTTAATAATTTTCCCATCCATTGTCAAGATAAACGTTCGGTAGAAGTTCGATGTCCCTCTATCACAGTATTTGGCTTTCCCAAATACAACTACATTAACGAGTTGAAGGCCGGAAGGTAAAGTAAGCGAGAAGCAGTCGAAATTGATATCATTGAGGTTATGGACACATGGTTTGAATTTGTTGGCAAAAAAAGGCGCTATTTTCGAACCACAGAGAAGTCGACTGGCATATTGGTCCTGCGCAAAGTGTGATACGTGATTCCGGTTCATCTCTGATACCTCTTTTAAATGCTTTGTGGCTGTGAACGAGAACACAGAAGCCATTGTATAGAATGATGAAAGACTTAATGGATCGGTATCAAAGAGATTGAAGTAATTTTTAATGAAAGATTCTATACTCGAGAACTCACTGTAATTTGCAAAGTATCCAATCTGTAAGTCTGGAATATACGTGTTAACCGTCACGGGAAACCGGAACATCGAAGTAAAATTCTGTAAGTCGAGGAATTGTAAATTTTTGAAATGTGTACGAATTTGGCTAATCGTCGGATCTTTTCTGTGTGCTGAATGTAATTCATAAAAGCGGCACAATGCACCTACGAATTTTGATGGTACATTTTATTTGAATAATACTAATAATTCTATAAAGTCGGGTCCGAGTTCATCACAAAGACAAATAGATGTCTCTAAGTAATACCCTCCACAGTCCATCGTAATGGTCTGAGTTGTTCCAACAAAAAGACCCGACAGTGCCGTCTTAAATTAAAATAAAAAAACAAACAAATGGTAATTTGGCTCGTTCTGAATAGGGTTTCCATTTAATGAAAGTGCTTCGAGTGGTATGTCTTTGATATAATCAAGTTGGTCCAATTGCTTGATGCAATTGTTTCTGAAGTCAAGTGACTTCAGTGCTGGAAATACTGCAATGATTTTTTGGAATCCTAATAATGATGAGATCGAGTTGTTGCAGAAATGGATCGACTGTATGGCGGGTTTAATTGTAGAAATCCCATCAAGTATTCTTGTTATAACAATTGAGTCAACTTGTTTATTAAACCCTAAGTCTTTGACCTTCATTTGAATATTGTCCAAATTGATTGATTGGTCATTTGTCGAGTAATATTTGTCTACAAGTTTCATGCCCATTTCATTGAAATTAACGGACGGTGCACTGTTGTCTACCATCGAAATTGTGACAATTTGACTGTTGAACAAAATACCATTCAACCCTAAAATATTGTTGGCAGTGGTTTTGTCTTTGAGATTCACTTGAAAATTGCCACCTGTTTCACTTATAAACTTCACATTCACATGGATACCGTTCGATGAAAAGAACGAAGAAAGTTGTGTTGTTGTTCCTGTGAAACCGGATACGATAAGCTTTAACTTGTTTCCATAATCTTTGTTTTTGTTTGGCTTTTGAAACTTTTGTTTCCTTTTGTTACCTCCCATCTGATTTTTTGAGTTTCTTGATGAAAAAGTCTTTTTTGCTTTTCTCTTATTGATGATTCATTATTTTACTTTTTTTTCTAATTTATTGTTTAACAATGAATAAGAATTGTATATGTAATAATTGATTTATTATTTATTTTTAAAAGAGTCTTTTTTCGTTCAGTGTTTTTGTACTATATAATAACCATATGATAACTATTAATAAACTAAAATTTGGTGGGGTTGGAATTCAAACAAATTAACCCTAAATTTTTTAGTTAATAAGTTGAAATACTATAAAATATAAAATGTTATTTTCTATATTATTAATTAGTTAAACTATAAAATATTTATTGTAATTGATAATTAAATATAAATAATTACCAATTAATGTGATTTTTGTTTGGTTTTAATAACATTCGAATAACAATTTTGTGGTTGAAATAAATGAAATTAATTTAGAATATTTGAATATAATAATTAAATAATAACGAGAAATAACCCTTAGTTTTTTTTAATTGATTTGTTAAATTTAGATGTTTTTACCTTTTTTAGTTTTGTGTTGTAATTCACAAAATAAACCTCTAAGAACGGGAAAATCATTTCATGTTTTTATCTTATAAAAATTATTTTTATTAAATTATAATAAAATTTAAAAACAATTTATTAATTATTTTTTTATGATAAATTTTATTTTATAATCAACTCAACTAAACTGTTTTCCAAAAGTCGGTACCGAAATTACCCCAATATTTGCTGAATAAACAACCCATTTTTTTTTCTTTTCTTTTACCTCTGTTTTTTATTCATTTTTCTTCGTCTTATTTTTCAAATAACTGTCTTCCACTTTTATCTTTTCTCGAACAAACAAAATATTCGCATTATTTTTCCCTCCAAATTTCTAAATAACTTTCTTCAACGAAAAAAAGACTTGACAAAATAATCGATTTTGCCGAAAAGTTAGAAACATTAATTTTGAAACCCAAAACAATTTGAATAACAAAAAAAAACTAAATAATCATGTCTAAACCAAGAAAAAGTTATGAACGCGAGCAAGAAGGGAAGAATGAGAGGGTCAAGATGGCTTTGGAAAGAGGACTGTCATATCGCGAGATCCAACTGCTTTGTGGAGTTTCCAAAACAAAAATAGCTAGTATCAAAAGGGGAGAGGAGACAAAGCCAAAGAAGATGGGAAGACCAAAAAACATCAGTGTTAATGTTGCTCAAAGTGTTGTCACACGAACATTAACTAACCCATCTTCTTCTTGTCTTATGGTTTCCAACGATGTTAAAGTTTCTCTTTCAAGTGTCTATCGTCTTAGAAAAGAGAACAAATTTGTGTTTGCAAAGCAGAAAAAAATGCCGGCTCTGAAACCATTACACATAACAAAAAGACTTATTTTTGTTAAGAAACAGCTGGCAAACGCAAAGCGTATTTTGACGTGGACCAAAAACACTCTCATTTCCGACGAGAGTCGTTTTTGTTTATACTCTGACGGAAAATATGTTTGGAGAAGACGTGGAAATCTTGATAAGGAGGCGTTTGTGCCAACTCCCAAGTTCAATCGGGGTGTGATGGTGTGGGCAGCAATTGGGCGTCATTTCAAGTCAAAACTCGTTTTCGTCGACGGAACACTGAACGCGGTAAACTATCAAAAAATGTTGGCCGAATCAAGAGTGTTTGAAAACGCGAAGAAGGTGTACAAACACGGGATGGTGTTTCAACAAGATGGTGCAAGACCCCACACAGCGAAAAACACAATTGAATGGTTTGAAGGCTTGGACCCGAAGCTCATGGTTCGACTACTGAAAGAATGGCCTGCAAATAGCCCCGACCTCAGCCCAATTGAACACTTATGGCAATATTTGGACACCTTAGTAAGAAAAGAAAAGGAAATCTTCGAGAACATTGAAGAACTCAAAGAGGCTCTTGAAAGGGCTTGGGATTCAATACCTCTTGAGACAATTGATAACTACATAATGTCGATTCCAAAGAGGTTTGAATTGTGCAAGGAAAACAACGGCGAATTTATCGGACACTTGCTTTAATCCGTTATCATTTTTTTTATTTTTTTCTTTTTGAACTCGTTTTATCATTTCTTTGTTCGTCTTCAGAGGATGTTTGTTTGTTTTTTTTATATGTATTCAAATTGTTTTCATTATTTTGACTCGAAAAGAAATAACTGTCTTAGAAAAATTGCAAAAGACTTCCCAACGTTTCGACAAATGCCCGAAAAATTACGAAAATAATATAATTTGTTTGTTTTTTTAGGTCAAAAAAGTCGGTACCGTTTTTTGTTTTTTTTAAAAAGATAAATAATAAAACAAAGTCTTTAATAACAATAAAACGGGAAAACAGCTAATAATAGTTTCTCAATTTTTAGCGGTAGTACTTACTTTTGAAATTCAGTTTAGTTTATTGGTTAAAAAGAAATTAAACAAAAAACAAAAATTAAAAAAAAAATATAAATAATTATAATTTATTTTTATTAAAAAAAATGAAATTATAAATTAACAAACTTTATGTTATTTTTTTAATTAACATAAAAATTTAATAGCAATACCATAGTTATAAATGATATAAAAAATATTTTCGATAAAGTAAATTTCAGGGAACACTGACAATACCAACATAACATGTAATAATTAGTGAAAAATGCAATATTGTTTGAAATGTAATTTAATATCAAAAAAAATAACATAAATAAAATTAAAAACTAATGTTATTAATTATATTGTATAGAGAATATTGAAATGCCGTATTTTTTTTCTTTATTGACCTTGAAAGAACTAGACTATGTCGCGAGAAGAAGAAAACCCAAACACACTTTTTAACATTTTGGATCAAACAATTTTATCTCAAGAATTTGTGAACACATACATACCATCTGAAACTAAAAGTAAACGGAGCCCAGCCATCACCGCTGCTAATATGATGGAAAACATCATTACTATGCGTAAAAAAAAGACTGTTTCTGAAAAAACAATTCGAAAGTCTGAGAATTTATACAAAATACTTCAACCCGAGGTGTTCGCTTTTCATACAAAAGTTGAACAAATCCAATTTATTTCCACAAATAACAAAGCAAGCAACGCAGAAATAGGTGTCCTCTTTGGGGTTTGTGACTCCGCAATTCACACCCATTTAAAGCAAAAAGAACGCCAACCACCACACAAAACCAAATTTGTCGCTGAGATGGACACCGCAATATCTGCTCTCTTCCAATTTTGTAAACTCCAACACTTTAATGCTAATTTCAGACTCATCGAAATAGTTTGTCAACATTTCGATCAAGACTTTTCTATGACAAGAAAAGGCATGGAAAAGCATATAGAGAAATATCATGGATACAAGTCGACTATTGCACACAAAGAATCTATAACTACCATTCGTCCCGATTTCTCAAAAGTCACCAAATCGCTTTTAAATTTTTCCACGAAGTATAACGGAATATTGTCAAGTCTTTTGTTAAGTGTTTCTGAAGTCGCATTTTGCGACTTGGAAGATTCAGAAGTGTTAACTGGATTCTACAAAGAAACAACAAGTGAGACAAACTCCGAAAGCGCAGCTGGCTTTCATCCTCCTCCCTTCCAAACAACACAACAACAAAATACACGCACTCAACAAGATAACCCTATTCTTCCCAATTCACAACTCTCACACACTCCACAAAACGTCTTAAGCGAAATCTATTTCCCTCGCACTGAACTCACTGAAAACACTAATTTGCGAATACCTGTGAGCAACTCATTTTGCAAAACTCCTGCTGCTATATGCACAACTGCAGACGGGGTTTTGCTCTATTCTGTTGGTGTTGTCCCGACCAAACGATATGATGAAGGGTTTTCTGCATATTTTCCACGTGTTGAAATATATT